AAGTTATTCCGCCTAATGTATTCTAACATTAACATAATAATATACTATATTCAAACATATAATATATTTTTCTCTACATATAATTGACAATTACAAAAATTGAAACTAAAGAAGAATTATTAAATTTTTTAAAAAACCTAGAATAATTTTAATTAGAAGAAAATAATATTTATGTATCATAATATCATATATAATCACTTATTTATAACATGAATGATTATTTTCTAATTGAAAATTAAAAATGAATGAAATTAATTCTTTTTAGGTCTATTTTTTTTAATTTCAATTTTGTAATTTTTATTTAGAAAAAAAAATTATTTCTCTATTACAATATTATAATGTATTTAATATATTATAATATTATATATTATGGGCCGGTTGCACCAAGCCGAGTTAGCTATTTAAATCGTCAGATTTATTTAATCTCCAGATTAAATTAAATCTCCATATGAGATCCATAAAAACCATATGAAAACTGTCATCAAAATTAAAATTTTGAAGGTACAAAACAAAAAATAGGAAATTGTTCCCCTGGACTTGTCAATTTGCATCAGAGGAATTATAAAATTAGTAAAATTTCAGATATAAAAAAAGGGGTCTTGAACAATAATAAGTGAAATTGTCCGCCGACAATTCAGTAGCTCATTTTTCAATTTTATTTTGACTATTTTTTTTTTTTCATTGAATATCTCGAAAACGTTGGAGAATAGCAAAATTTTTGTTAAGACCATTTTTATAGAGCAAATAAAGATATACATAAAAATTTATAATGAAAATTTGACTACTAGCCACAGATTCAGAGATATTTATCAAAAATCCAGCTGAGGGCTATTGCGTTGAGCGCAGCAAGAGGTTTGAATAAGTTGCACATGGCGCCAATCACGTGACTCATGGCACTGTCGCAGGGAGGGTAACAGCTGACGCGTTGCGCCGACTGCTCCGAAATTGCTATTATAATTTATAATAAATTAACGGTACATTTTGGGCTATAAGTTCCTAACTCCCCCCGATAGGACATTTTCTCAGCTACAAAGAAATATATTTTTTTCCCATCTGATGAGGTTAACTAAAGATATCTAGGATTGAAGACGGCCTGTCGGCAATTCCCAATTGTTTATAACAAATTGTGAATCACCCCGGCAAATTTGAGCATATACTTTTTAAAACATTAATAATTACACTTTTAGCTATCGATTGGTGTAATTTAGTGCCCTTTGGTTAATTTCGATGTAAAAAATCTAATTTGACTGGACTATCGTGCGATAGCACAGTGAAGGGTGTCGCCGCACTCTCGTCTCTCTATAAATAGCGAGAGCTCGTGCGATAACGGAGCAAATGCTCTCGCTCCACTCTCGCCTCTCTATAAATCTGTCGTGAATTAGTCAACTAGGATGAGTCCATTTTACTCGAAAATTTTTCGCAAAATCAAATCGCTTCCTAACTTTTGTTAGGAAGTGATTTAGCCAAAAAACGCATTTTCAAAAAAAATGCACCCATCTTAGTTTACCAATTGACAACAGAAATTGGCGAGAGCTGGGGTGATAGCACAGTGAAGGATCTCGCTCCACTCTCGCCTCCCTATAAATAACGAGAGCTAGTGTGATAGCACAGAGAGGGGTCTCGCTGCACTCTCGCCTCTCTATAAATGACAAGAGCTCATGTGATAGCACAGCGAAAGGTGTCTCCACTCTCGCTTCAACAACTACCAGAGAAAATTATCAAAAAATTATCAGCTGAAAACCCTGTAGGTTTTACCACGGGACGTCGAATGGTGGAATTCTATTGGCTGAAATTTGGATGGGAAAAATTCTCGTAATAATTCGCTGTCTCTCTTAGTTTCGAAGATATTCTTGAAAAATTCACCGACTTATTTTTTTTGGTCGTGAATTTTCAATTAACAACCTCTTCCCTCCCTGTCTTTGCAAAAACCCCCCTCCTCACATCTGACATTCCCAATATTTTGACACTCGTCCCGATGTATGGGGCACATACGCCCCTTAAATACCTCGGCGGTAATTTTTTATTTCAATCTGAAAATTCTCAATAATTAAGAAAAATTAAGTATTGGTTTTAGAAAATAATAGTTCTCGAAAACAATTCCCACATTGGTTAATTTTTATGATCCCACCAACGATAAAGGTTAAGAACAGGAGTTTCTAAAATCTAGAAACTAGTTCCTAAAGCTGATTCACTTTTTTTTCTCTGTGTTCGGTGCAAATGTCGGTAGTTATGTCCCCAAGTTACCCCTAAAATTTCAGATAAAAAATAATAACGCTTTTGAGTAATTGCAGATTGAAAGAAAATATTCATGTTGCCATAACGGCTCAAAAATTGAATAAATTGAATTAAATTGCGGTCATTTTGAAGCTTTTCCAATTACCTTCCAATGTTTGTAAACGAAAATTTGATTTCTAATGATTAAATTCAATTATTCCACCTTTTTCTCCAACAATCAAAATTCAAGGGGTTAAATTTAATTTTTTTGAAAAATCATAACTCGCTGCAAGAAAATGGAATCGCTCTAAAAATTTTCTGAGTGCTTAGTCTCATGTACTCCTAAAAAAATCGGCAGAACAATCGGAAACAGGACATTTTTTTCATTTCGGATATGACGTAGAATAGCTCAATTCTCAATGCACAACTGCTTCCCCCCCTCCCAATGTTTCAGCAAAACTTCGCTTTCTCCCTTAGAATTGGAGATATCCTTGAAAAACTCATCGGCCAACTAAGTCGGCTGCGGGAGGGCCGTCCATTGAGAATTCAGTACACTCCCCCCCCCCCCCCCNCAATCCCCCCCCCCCCCCCCTCATGCTTCTATCCCACACAAAAATCGCCATATGTAAAACCTTCTCCCCATTGACGAAGCTCCATAGCCCCAAAAATCGGCTTGAATCGAACAAAAAATTCGGCTTGAATCAAACCGAAAAACCGGCTTGAATCAGACCGAAAAATCGACTTGAATCAGACCGAAAAATCGAATTGAATCAAGACGATATCTACTGCCTGAAACAGGCAGAATTTCGGCGTGAATCACTCCGTTTTTCCGTTTGATTCAAGTCCATTTTTCGGTTTGATTCAGACCGATTTTTCGGCCTGATTTAGACCGATTTCGGCTTGACACGTTTCTACTTGAAATGAACCATTTTTCGATTAATATCAGACCCGGAATCCGGATTGGCGTAGTCTGAGTCATTCGGCTTGAATCAACCGAAAAACGGTTAGAATTAAACCGATGGCGACTTGAATCAGGACTTCTTTTTTGGGTGAGTAATTTGAGTTGCATCGACAGCAAGTCAACGTCCGGTGAGCAACAAATAAGTCAGGGTTATTAAAAAAATATATTTCTAAATGATATTAATTTTTGAAATAATTTCAAACATGACACATGCCAAATTTCAAGTTAATATATATATTATTACAAAAGTGAGAGTGCTAACAAGGATTTTGAGCGCCAAACGGAAAAATGAAAATATCTCAGAAACTTTGTGCGAACGGGCATGCATATTTTTATTAATGGAAGTAGAAGACATCAAGACGTATATTTTGAAGAAAAATATTGAAATCGGTTGAGTAGTTTTTGAGATGTATGGGTAATTCTCTACAAATTGTCTCTACAAATTGTGATTTTTCACCTTGCACATTTTTCAAAATCTGAACATCTCTGTAGAGTAATTTTTTTTACATTTCTATATGTCATAATGGTCCAGAAGTATAGTCCTAGCATCACTCTACTCTACCAACTTCAAAAGATTGAGAATGTTAGAGTGTTACCGATTTTTTACTGCCACGTTGGTGACCAAACTTGAAAAGTCTTCGTATTTCAATCAAGAAATCTAATTTTCAGATAATAGAAAAAGTTTATTGATTTATTTGACATCTTTCGAGTATTATATATTCATTTGCGGAGATTACTTTGGTTTTTTTTCGAACAATCAATTCTGCCACAGTATATTTGTATTCAGCAGTTGTTGATGACCCACCTGGGTGTTACTCTGAGTTTGCACCATTTAAACACCTAAAAGATTTTTCTTAATACCTTTGTGATGATACAACTTCACTCCCATACGTTTATGTGATATAACACGGTTGTGACTACCACGGTTGTGACATTCTGTGTTAAAATCGTACTTCGTGCCAGCTATGAATTCAAAGCTCTCTGAAGACGATGAGTTTCAGGTAATGGAATGTTACTTTTTTAATGAAAAAAATTAGCTAAGAAATTACTCAGCATGTAACAAACATGAGAGCACGGTAGTGACAAAATAATTTGTGGCTTATGTTTTTCACCTCTCGAGTAGTCTTTCTTCGATGTGCACGTGTCTAGTTAATTTTTACTGGGGTAAATACTGGACCTTACCCCTTTATTACAGACTTTCGGTGCGTGCGTCATGTGCCAACATCCGAAATGGCGTGACCACAGTTGAATTCAAATTTTTTTAAATAGTGCTATAATTGTCGGATAAACTTTATGATCGTCCTGGTGTGAGTAAAACTGTTATTCCTCCAAAAATTGCTCATGAAAGTATACTTAGTCACATCCCCTATTATCTATGTTCAGCAATTTTTTTTGAGCTGCTTATTTACTCGGTTTCATTGACAAAATCTCGAATTTGATAAAAAGGACATACCACGGTAGTGACATTTAGGCTGGTTTCAGTTCTCTAAAACTAAATAAACAATCAGGTAATGGCATCTATGTTATAGAAACGGTGAAATGGTATAGTGTCTCCCGACATCCGGAGAAATTCGATGATTATTCCATCATTTTGAGATTGGAAATTTGAAGGGCAAGAAAATACAAATTTGTAGATAATCACCCATATGCGAAAAACGATTTAGAAATCAATGGCGATTTCTCAGAAACTGCTGCATCGATTACGTTGAAATTCAGCGCAGAATTAGCTCTTATTAATATCTATAATCTGACAAAATTTCAGATTTTTTGAAATCATTTTAGTCCTTTAATTCTGCGATTTTCTGAAAGTTATCCACCAGGTGGACACCCGCACGCATACACACAAGGTGGTCAAACGTCGTATTTTTACGTTTCAGCCAATTTTACATCATTTCCACGCAAAATTAGACAATCTAAAGACGAAACGATTTCAATGCTTCCATTCGGAAGGAGAAACGACGTGCTGCGGCGTTTTCATCACATGGCAGGCAATCTAGGTTAGTTAAATATGATATTAGTAAGTGTCATACACGCTTACATTTTCCATTACTTTAATAGAATTGCAAATTCGACCTACTGGTTTGATCACTTCGTAATTCGTAAGTACATGTATCATTCCCTTAAATCGTGTGAGCAAATTTGGTCTCAAAATTTTCGGAACTTGTATCTATATTTTCTACAGTTTTGTTTTTCATTTGTATACTTTATTCAGTTAAATCATGAAATTCAGGAATAACAACTCATCACAGAAGTGTTCACTAGACATAGATTCTCGGAGTCCTTAAAAATTGCAAGTATTCCGAGTTGTGTTCGAGGAAGCCGAAGAGATTTTGTAATATGATGCATTGCATCGATATCGAAATTGTGGATGGAAGTCATCATTGCGTGTTCGAATACATACAGTTGCGACTTATTAAAAAAATCTTAATATTTAGTATTTCACTCTTTTTAGTATCTCACTCGCACTGCAGAAACGTCCTGTAGGTTGAGTAGCGTTGCCTGAGAAAAATGCTCGTAGCGCGCCTATGAATGAAATGAAAACAAGTAAAAGTCATTGCACTGGTAGTGATCGACATACTGAACGTTTTGACGTTAATTCCAAGAGTGTCCTAGGTAAAAACTTGTACTGTATTATTTACAATAGCAACTATGTCTTATAGTAATAAAAATATTTGTAGTTACAGGATTATTTACTACAATTATTCACTCGAATTTATTATGTTATTCAGGGGCCCTTCATGCCGGATTGGGTTGGACAGACTTGGATAAATTCTTCGCTATGCTGAACATGCCACGTTATAATTTTCAAACATATAAACGATATGAGGATGAACTTGGATTAGTAGCAGAAAAAGTGGCCAAAGAGAGCTGTCAAAGTGCGACTGAGTTAGAAAGGCAGATGACGCTGGAACAAGCCGCAATTATTGAAAAATCCCTGTAATTTCAAGTCTCTTTATTTTTTACAATTCCGCTGCCATTGATTCAATCACCCCAATTTAACGTATTACATGCATAATTGTGTTCCGTCTTTTTGGAGTTAAGTCGATTTTTTTTTTCAAGTATTTACAAATTTACAAAATATTTTTTTTATCGTTTCTTCAAATGCCGATTATTTTCCTCATTTTTTGGAATTAATTCGATTTTTTTAAAAATATTTCCAAAATATTGTTTTATTTACGTTTCAACCTCTTTTTTTGGAGTAAATTCGATTTTTTTTTCTAGTATGTACAAGATATTTTTGGGATGATTTTTTTAATTTCAATTATTTTCCTCGTTTCTGTACTGACTTGGACTTTTTTTAGTATTTACAAAAGATTTCTCGATAAATTTTTTCAACTTCAGCAACGAAATTCAATCAACTCATTATTATGATGTTCTGATGCTTTTTTGACGAATGTCTCATTTATTTTGACAATTATTTTTTTTTCATTTTTTCCCGTCCTCCTGAAAAATGAAATAGACTTTTTGTGTAACCTTGTTTGTACCAAAGATATTTTAATAAAAAGTTGAATCATGAGTTTCATTGTGTTGATGTTTCGGGATTTCGTATTTCATTCTTTACGCCAGAAGCAAAATGAAGTCAATTTGACTCAATTGAAACTTGTCGAGAAAGTATTGGGGGTGGCAACCCGTAAAAAATTGGCCGCTGCTGCTATTGGTGTTAAAAATCTTGAGAATATTTATTCGACCCTTGGAGCTGAAGGTATTGATGATTTTTTCAAAGAAAAAGTTAAGAATAAAGTGATGACTCTAATTCAAGGGAAAACGATACAAAAAATCATCGATTTGTTGACTGAAAATGATAAGAAATAGATGCCAAATATTATCATTTAGTTATGATATTCATGGATTATTCATTAAGGATTGCAAATTATTGACGTTAAATTTAATGAATGTTTATACCGTTTTTCATCCCCAGATGTGTATCTATTGCCCTACGTCCTGTTTGAATTAGATGAATAAACGTTGATCGTACTACCTAAGGTTTTTCTGAATGTATTATTTCTTCATTTCCTCGCTACTTTATTTATTGATTTAATTAATTAACGTAAAATCCGAAAAATCTCCGATAATTCTCGCGACATCTGTGCGTCACACGTTTGTATTTGGCGCGCTCACTCCTCCCTGAAACTGTGTTGCGACGTTGTCATACTTACGAACTGCGCGCGCAGTAATTTTAAAACGACGTTAAATTTTCGATGTTTTTGCAATGTTTTGGTGCCAATTATTGCCCTGATCGATGTGAAAAAATATATCGATTGTCCGTTAGATAAAAACCTATTGATGGGGGCAGTTTCACTCCGATAAAATAATTTTTTAGCGTTTTCCCTTAGATTTTGTGATTTCTCCATAAGAACACGGATTAAATTGACATTTTTAAAAAAATTATAACTTTGTTATGGAGTTGCGCAGAGACCTATTCGCGATCGCAAAAGCGATTTTTCGCCGTCTGGTGGTGGTTTGTAGAATTACTATCTTGCAGAACCAATCTGATGGTAGTGCGCCAAGGCTCTGGAGTATGAAGAGTACATTAGAGTACAACGGCACAAATTTCGTTTTCAACGAATGTGTATTTTACAGGCCGAGCCGAAGGGGAGGTCTGTACACACATTCGTTGAAAACGAAATTTATTACCGAGTGCTCTATCATATTTTACGTCAAGTCGTGCAGAAGTCGAGTTTTGAGCAAGCTGCGCGAAGCGCATTTTTTAACTTGCTTTCGGTTACGAAATATTCAACAAACAATGGACTCAACCGACTCGGCTAATTTCATTATAGAATATTCATCTCTACATGAAATACTTACACTGCTTTATATAATTGTCAAGAGAGAAATGTTGACTGCAAACTTTCATGTTTTCATCGTAAATTCCTCTCAGTTTCAATGCTTCCATCCATTTGTTCCGTAAAATTAAATCGGATGGAAAACTACGGAAACTTAAATTCAGTTTATCCTTTACTTTGCACTGTGGAACACAGCATCCTCTTTTCGAATTCTTGAGATAATAGTTCTGTGCCATTTTCATAAACAATCGGTAGGTTATAAGATCAAAATTTAATTCACGGCTTGTACTTGAAACACTGAAATGTAGTATATACTGGAAAGGGCACTGATCCGCCTGACGCGAGCCGACAGAGAGGGGCGATTTTCAAGGATACCTATCTCTCTCGTACCGTCCGCTCAAAAAGTTTTCTTACCTTCTAGAACGTATAGAATTCAGTATTGGCGTTCAATTTTTGTTGTTGCATCATTATAACATAGAATTGATCATTTTTTTCCAATGTAATAATACTCGGGCCATTTACAATTTAATTAAAATAATTCCACATGGGAAAAATACAAAAAAATATACAATTCAAGAGATTATTTGTTCAATCAATCTGAAGGTGTATCGAAATCCTCTGAGTCGATATCGTCATCAGTATTCGGATTTTGAAATTTAGGTATGTCCAATATAATTCCTGAAACAGAAAGTATAAATTGAATGATATAGGTTTTATTTTGAGGGAATTCCAGGGACTCTCAATTTCAGGAAAATGCCTCGTGTGTCGAGGAGTTGAATTGGAATCTGTTTATATCTAGTTGTCCCAATACTGCAATAAAAAATAAGAACATTGTAATTGTGAATTTTTTTAATGCATGAAGAATACAAGAGAAATCCAATGAAGACAATATCAAAATACACGATTTTTCCTCTAATTTTCTACGAAATAGCTGTTCGTGGATTAGAGGATATTTTTTTATTCTCACAATGGGACAATTATCGCCAAGATGTAAATAGCAACAATTGAGTGTGCACCACTCAGAGTACATAAGCTTTTTAACTCGCATGTACATGCTCGTTCTACGCATGCGCAACGCCTGCTAGAGTGAGACAGGTATCCTTGAAAATCTACCTCTCTCTGGCTCGTTTTCCGCTTACGGGCCTAGCATGGCAGTGCCCTTTCCAGTATATACTACATTTCAGTGACTTGAAACAATTTGACATTTCAGCGCGATTTGAGGTTAGGGTTCTGAGCAGCTCCGCAAGTTAGTAGTTCTCCACGGTCCCGCATTTTTGGCCATAGCGCTGACGGCGGTTTCGCGATCGCGAATAGCTTTGCATATGCTTTTTAAATAGATTGAAGAACCTTGTAAAAAATTTTCATAAATTCCGTATATTTTTAAATATCTTAAAAATATAGGGCGAATATCCTTAATTTAAAAAATTAATCGCTCCGTTGGTTTTGTTTCTACAAAAAGTTTAAATGTTCCAGGTCGGTACTCATCAAGTTTCTGACCACACGTCGAGTCTGTCGATTTATTATCGTTTATCGCTGCAATACTAAAGGTGTCCTCCAATACCGATCGTAAATAACTTAGGGATTATTGGCGTGCAATAGATGTCGCACTCTGGTACGATTCTTCTGAAATTCTAATATTGGTGTTTTCTTATAGTTCCATTTGAAGGTGTATAATTATATAAACTCATTGATTTGCATGCTTATCTAACCATTTATGACCCGTTCACTAACTTTTCTGGATGTTTATTTTTTACCACTGTTTGTTCAGATATTTTACTTATAATTTGTTATCAATCTAATAAAATATGTTTCAGATATATTTTCGATAAATTCTCTTTCAATTCAGTATTGTGGAATTAGATGGTGTGTATCAAGATTGATCGTTTTATCCTTATTAGAAATTCAAGCCACGAAACTTATCGAAAATTTGGAGATATTTCTGAAAGTTCAGATGTCAATGTGAGACTATTTTCACAAATTCATTAATCTACTAATTTATGCATTGGTCAAATAATTTATCAATTTCTTAACTCATAAATGTATGAATTTGTTCATTTCTCAAATTTAGTGGAAACCATATCATGTAATAAGGAAGGAGGTATTATCTTTATTCTCGATTGCCCGAGGGATATAAAGATATATACAGTAACAAAAGATGAATTCTCTCTGTTCGTTTCACTTTAATTATAAGACAGACGTTAAAAGACTATTTTATAGGGATTTCTTTTGAACTCATTCTCCTTAAACTTTTAAAATATTTTCGGAAATGAATTGTTTTCTACTAGTAGATGAATTATTTTTTTTCTTTTATTCGGCTTTGCGGTCATTCGTACTTTCTCAGATGTTAGTGAGGTACATTTTTCTTTTGCGGTTATTTGAATCTCATCAAATTCGAACTTTCGCACTGAGAGGGACGCAATTCGCTATTCATTCACTCCCAGTGGTTCAAGAGATGACATTTACAGCTCGCCAATGTTCAATTAGTCAATGCATAAATTTAAAAAATTGCGAGGTTCATTGGATCGGAGTCTAAAAAAAAAATTCATCGCGTGTATATATACTTACGACACCTCGGCCGCATGCCGCCGGGGTGTTTATGCCCCTTTCATTATGCCCTTTTTCCTGTCAGATTCAATATTCTGTTTTTCAATTGATTGTTCATAATCATTCTAATTAAAAAAGCAATGCAAATGATGGAAATAATATGTCCCAATTTATTAGCTGTTAATTTTTCATATTGCAATAAATGACTTGCTCATGTGTTAATTGCTATGTTCACTGAATAAATGTTTGATCATAATTGGAATCCACTTCCTTCTCGAACGTAAGCCAGAGAATAGATTTCTGCTCAACACTGTCATCATTTTTTATAATTAGTTCACTCGTTACTTCAGTTGATCCGTTGTTCATATCATCAATATAATTCCACGCTTAGAATATCATCACCTAATATTTTCAGCACCAAATTAAAAATTATAATTTTAAATGATTATTTGACTTTTACTCTATCCTTTTTTGAGAATCTGAAATTCACGTTAATGATTCAGATAATATTACATAATCATCATCATTTTTATTATTTGCAGTTATGGAATATTGAGTCAAAGCTCTTTTTGTTGAATCGTATCAGAAATTTTTAATTTAAATATTGTTATTATTTGTTCAAACTGAAACAATCGATTACCATTTTCACCACATTGCATTCAGATTCTTCTATACTTAACGTCAAAAATGTCAGAATCTCTCAAAATTCTAACTATTGATTCTAATTAACTTTGTTTGAAGGAAACCCCAGTAAACGCAACATTGAAGAAATTG